TATATACGACCTGACAGCGCCGACTTTGGATACTTCATGGACACGTCGAGGAAGCTAAGCTGTTCACCGAAGGCATCATTGCCCGTCGAAAATTGAATTGAATTGTTTTGCCTTTGACGGTGGGTTCTGTAAAGTGTATGAGTATACATCATAGCCCCTGTTGTGTGTACTTATAAAGCAATTACTACTCCAGATTAAACTGGAACCCTGAAATGGAGCCACCACCGGCTCTGTGGTTATACCCTTCATATTCGCATCATAAACAAATATTCCTATGCGCCACTTTAACATGTCGGAACCAAACACTATTTGCATGCCAGGTATCAATGGCACTATATTATCCATCCCGGTATATATCTCAGCATATGACCACGTTGCCTCAAACTTCCCATTGGGTAATGTCCGTATGGATCGTATATTTTTTATGGACGTTCTAAAACCCACATTCGAAATTGGGGGGGGGGGGTGTCAATTCATTCAGTGAAAGAAGAGTGACGTAGTTGGTATTGGTCTAGTCGGCATGAACAACGGTGTTACTTCCAAAGGGGTCTGTAACCGTAGTGGGATAAACACTTGATTTTGATACTTCGATGTTATAGGTTTTTCTCTCTCGATATAATTCGATTTTGAACGGTCAGAAAACACGATGGTTTGCACCGATTTAGTTGCTGCCCCCAGTCGCAAGTTGTGAATATAGTTAGAGTTGCCATCAATGTAAATGTTAACGTCGCCTTCTATTGTACCACCGTAAAAGTAGTTATGGTTGTGGGCATACCAGGATCCTATAATCGAGAGTTCACTTGGTCGACTTGAGTCATTGATGCGGTTCACGTAGAATGTATTTTCGTTGATCCATGGCAAACCCTCACCCTCGCCAAGCAATGGAGGCTTGGTACATTTGAGAATCGAGAAATTGTTATACTCCGACGATGAAATGCTTTCGTCGTAATTACTCGTCAATGATGGTTCTACCGCAGCGTATAATTGCACGTGCCCCGCGTCTTTCACTGTGATATTAAGCCCATAGAGTCCAGAAAATCGTAGCGCAACGTCGGCGGTAAACCATGTGTTCGTAAATCATATATTGTTGACGTAACCATGCCTGACCGTCACACCATGTCCTCCACCATAGTAAAGTGTTAAGATGGTGCCTATGGAAGAGTCGAAGTCGCCGACAATAGTACCGTTCATCTCTCACCACATCATACGGTGAAGTGCCATGTACACCGGTCTCGTGAACGTATAATACCCGTTGGCCAAGAACGGTATCATTCTCACCCTAGCGTGAGCCCCGGCGGCCTCGAATGCTTCTTCGGCACCCACACCGCTAACTGGCCCCCACATCTCGGGCATTACGTGCTCGAGAGGCCTAATTCGGCCACCGAGAGGTAACGTCGAGTCTGTATCTACAAGGACAAGACCTTTGAACGCACCACAGTCACCCGCGACCTCGCGGCCGAAAAACCTCGACCACGTCACCTGTCGATATGTGGTCTGAGGCCAGCGCATCAATGAGGGTCTGAAACACAAACGTGCCGATTTTAAAATCAGTGCCGGACACGACGAGACTTTTACCGTCAACAACCGTATCGATCGGCGCATGGACCATCTCGGACGTTGACTCGTTGTAACGGACAAGGCTGCCCGCGTGGGTGGACTCGCGGACGGGGTTTATGCATATCGAGTTTGCTTGCTCGGTGTTGAGAGCGCTACCGGACGCGTTGAGGACGATCGTGTTGTCGTGCTGGTCCTCGTACCCGGCACTTGTACCAATGACAATGGCGTCAACACCCTGGCTGTCCCAACCTGCCTCGTGACCTATAGCTATAGAGTTATCATTCTGGTTGGTTTCACCGGCCGAGTTGCCTATGGCAACGGTGGCGGATCCCTGACTCGTAGATCCGAAATTTCTACCCAGGCGCACGTTTGTGTTTCCAACTTTCCACATGGTAGTATAACGGTTGTTCGAATGTTTATTCTTTCGACAAAAAAGTGTGACACTACCTCGGGAATTGTACTCAACCTCAACTACGGTGTTCTTTCGTCTGTTTTTACGTACCTTTAACTGAGAATTTGTTTGGGGATCTGAATTCAACTCTTGAGCTTTTGAACTGCCCCGTTCGCTGTATTTGGATTTTAAGGTTTTGTGTCTATTTCTTCTTTCGCAAATGTCTCGCCGTCAATACTCGGTTCGCCAATATCAAAATCCCCACCACCACCACCACGTACATCACGCGACGCACCGTAATTAGTTGGAACCGCTCATCCCGCTTTTTCGTCTCTAGCGCTACCGTCACCAGTGTGTCAATCTCGGAAAAACACTTGCGGTTAAACGATGACGGTGGCAGCTCCGGGCCCTCAAACACCACTATCGCCGTCGACGCCCTCTTCGTTACCATGCCCGCCGACTGCCGCAATACCTACCCATGAATTGGGTTCCGGTACAGTTCCAACGCCAGCTTGATATGTGTCATCATACACTCCACCACCGGCCCCACACCACGCAGCATGACAATCCCCACAATCGCCGCCCTCTCGTGTTGCACCAGCTGCATATCATAGCTACCATTGTCTCCCGAAAACGCCAGGTACCACTGGTCATCCAGCCCCTCGTTGGTGTTGGTGCGCACGTAATGCATGTCGGAATCCACGTGCTCTAGAACTAGCACCGAGTGGATGTCCCGCTTATAGTGCATCGATTCAGCATGCAGTCGTCCATCCACCTCAACACTCTGCTGGTCCCGCGTCGTCATACACATGAATACACCTAGCGCGTTCGACAATACAATCTTGATCTACACACGGTGCAGATTGTACGACTTCAGCGATGAGATCCACTTGGCTCGGTTCGCAATGCATCCGCGACTCAATTGGTCACCATGCCCTCGTAATTCTTGTTATAGTACGCTCCCGTGTCCAGGATCGCATCCAGCTTGTCAATTAGAATGTACATCTCCGTCGCCGGCTTATCAAACGTCAGCGCTACGGGTATGTAGTCATTGCCGTTTGGCAACCCGTACCCCATGTACATGTCACCCTTGAAGATGGTGCAGTTGACCACACGTTTAATGCCCCAGTGTGGTCCGTCGCCAGAGATTGGAGTACGTCGCCGGGTTTGGTCAATTAGCCGATGTCATCCCCGGGTACGCTGTTCGTGTGATTGAAACATATCCCGCCACACAGTACCGCTACATCTTTGACACCATGGATCCTCGCATCGAGGATGGGATTGTCTTCAAGCTTTCCGGGGCCTACAGTGACGACACGTGCGTGGTCAAGTTCAAGCCGGTCGACATGCAGCCGACCGACTTTATCGTGCGTCGCGTGACGTCGGATCAGGTCATCCCGCGGTGGCAGCTCATGGTCAGCACACGGAATGGTGTTGTGCCCTTCCAGGCGCATGCTGAAGAAGGTGGTGTCTTTGTACCACATCGCGACGAGTACACGCGTTTGTATTTGTCCAGCTGCGCGTGGACAAGATCAAGGCCAACAGGGCATATGTCGCAAATCTCACGTATCAGGACATGCGGCGTCCAGACTACCTGGCGTACTACTTTGCGATGCTGGACGAAAACAAATCTTGGAAGTTTGGGAAAGCAGAATTAATAAATTTTTAATTCACACACGACATTCAGTTTCACACTGTCGACGTTGGACACACTTGCTTTCTATAGCACTCTTGCCTATACAATCCCAATCCAAGTTTTCATCAAGTTTCTAATATGTCAATGAGCACCACACCCCCTAGCCCAACTCACATCCCATGTGGTGGTCGAGCCCCCACGGTTGAACAGTAAAGGGCGATCGAGTGTGTAGCTCGTGGCGAAAACGTTATCCTCCTCGCTTGTGCTGGTGCCGGCAAGACATTTACAATGTTGGCTATCGTTGAGCGCCTCAATCGCCAGAGTATTGGCAAGCGCATCCTCATCCTGACGTACTCGTCGTCGCTCAAAACCGAGACCCGCAAGAGGGCTGCTTCGGCCGGCCTCAGCGTGGACGTACACAGCTTCCACTCACTGTACTCCATCATCATTGACCTGCAGCTGATGGTGGCCATCGAGAACCCGCTGGACATTATCTATGACGTCGTCATTGTCGATGAGGCTCAGGACCTCTCCCCGTTGTACTTCTACACACACAAGTCTGTGGCTGGCCGCACCACCCAAAAGATCATGGTCAGCGACTCGCTGCAGACCATCAACCAGTATCGTGGAGCAACAGACACCTGCTTTCGACAACCAGAGCTGTATTTTAACACGCCGTTCACAAAACTCGTGCTCTCGACAAGTTTTCGCGCCCCGCTTGGGGTGTGTAGTTTCATCAACACAACGACCCGCAGCCCCAATGTCATTGGAGGGAGTCCCGGCAGCAGTGTGAAAGAAACCGAGTACATTGTGTACGGTGATGAGACCTACCCCGAGATTGACCTGTATCGAGACATCAAGCTTGTGATTGCAAATGCTCTGCGGACCGGCAAGTCTGTGTTTGTGCTGGCACCGAGTGTGCGCAACAAATCCTATCGCAGCGTGTACAATGGTTCTGGGCGACACACGCAGCACTCGTTCCGCCATAATTCGCCACGGCCGTCGCCAATCTCATCATTTATTACGTACCTGGTCAAATCGCTAGACTTCCGGTTCCCAATCGACTTGCCCTCTGACGACATGACGGTCAGGAACGAGGACTCTGATGACGATGACGATGTGTCTATCGATTCTGATGCCACCATGGACCTGGACACCCCACCTCTGATTGCTACCGAGCAGCGCGTGGTCTTCAAGACCTATCATGAGAGTAAAGGGCTGGAGGCTGACCTTGTGATCTGCTTTGGGTACGACATGTCGTACTTTTCGTTTTACGCGAGGGACGCTGACCCCCGCGTAGTCCCCAACACCCATCACGTGGGGCTCACAAGGACCAAGGGCCGGATGATCCTGCTCCACAACTGTAAGCATTCAATGCCCCTTATTTGAATCGTGAGAACCTAAAGTGCCGGATACTGGCGTCTAATCCTCTGGACCTCACCCCAGCCAGTGTGGCCGTGTGTACACGTACCGATGCTGTAGCGGACAGCGCACCACCCACGTACCGATGCTGTAGCGGACAGTGCACCACCAAGACCCAAATTTATCACTCAGATATGTCAGCTGTTCAACGAGGACATTGACATTGCCATTGCGCAGTTCAAGGCCATCAGTCTCTTGGGTGTGGTTAAGGGACCCAGGCGGATCAACCTGTCACAGCTGGATGTTGTGGACACTAATAACACCCGCGAGAACGTTTCCGCGATCAAGGACATGGCCATCATGCTGATGCTCGACACAGTCTACGCAACCCGCGCACACTCGATGAAGTCTAAGATGAGTATGGGTAACGTGATCTCGGTGATCCTGAATTCAACAGCAAACTCGGCCATGAACCGGAAGTGGCGGGAGGCCTGGGACCTCATTCGCCCTCGCGTTGGACCAATCAGGGTATGCATGTTTTAAATGTTTTAGGGCTTTTGATCTGTTATCACTTGCACCCCCACACACTGCGCGCTCGCAACACACACACACACACACAGAGAGAGTACTCACACTTCACTCTATACCCTATACTGTATTTTATTCACAGGATATGAGCCTGTCCAGGAAGGCCTTTGTGTGCGCCCTGGTCCTGAGTTCACACTCGGTCATCTACGCTCACCAAATACCCATAGTCGACAAGTTTGTCACTCACGTGGGCTGGAAGAAAATCAGGACCTTCTTTGAGACTTTCGGGTTGGCGTTCCCGCAGTTCAACTTCCCCATCAAGCATGAAGTTAACCGCTGCGTCGTCAAGGTGATGGTGCCCGTCATTGACCATTCCAAGTTCATCGCTGTCAACCTCTACGTTCGTGGCGATGTGACGAAGGAGAGGATCATTGAGAGTACCATCATGAATGATGTGCTGGTTGGGTGCGGCTACGCAAAGTACACGGTCTACACGGCCTGCTTGGAGTCACAGGAGTACTATAAGCCTGATGGCATGACCTCTAATTTCTTTGAGCACTTGAAGACACGTAATACTCTGGATGCTACGTTGAATGATCCGCAGCCGGTGTTTTAATAAAAAAAGATTAAATTCTTTATCATTGGATATAACCCCCCCTTTTTTTTTTTTGAATTTCTTGAAAACGGCTGATACACACGGAATCGTATGTGGGCTCAATAAGTTGGTACATAGAGATCTAAATGGTGCTATTATGCTGTATGTAAAATTTCAAGAATTGATTCGAATCAACAAAGTCGCGCGCGTGGTTCTGTGTCATTACGGGATTCAACTTCCACGTTTAGCTTAAGCTAACAGAAATGATGTGGGCTAGAACACAAATACAACTAATATAATTATCAAGAAAACAAGCAACGCTATCCCCATCGCTATCCACTTGACGGACATCCCCGTGTCAGAGCATGTACCTGTGCCTGTACCTGCATTCCCCGCAACATTCCCTCCAGGAACGGATGTATCGTTATCGACAAGTAGAGCGTTTGATATGTCTGTTGTTTCCGAGTCCTGCCTATCATCATTGACGCATTCCTTTATTAATTTAACATTAAAGTTGTGTACAAATGGTATATTTTAGACTCACTAGATTATCATTGTCCAAAATGCGATAGGGCCGACATGTAGCCACCCTCGCAATACCTCTTTCTGAGGTACCCTCAACCAAAATACAGCTTTGTTGTTATATAGAGGGTGCAATAATCAGACTGTATACAAAACCACGGACGGGCGTACACCAGACCATGTAGCCCTCCGCCGACGATGTGACGACAGTAGAAAGAATTCAACGAAACGCTGGTCCAACAAGGAGATCGCGGCAATGGCCCGGCGTCAATACTACTACCAATTGGTCATGGGCAAACCGCCAACCTCAGATCGGGACAAAGCCAGACACGACAGCTTCAACCGCTGCTTCGAGCCTACACCAATCCGGCTCTGTGCTATGATTGTAACAAATACGTACATGTTCACATTGCTCGACTACCGCACTGACGGCTGTCTCTGCCCTGTCTGCCCCGGTGGCCAAAAATTCACCACCAGTCACTTTGCCTGCATCCAGCAACTGATCCAATGCATCCTGGTAGGCCCGAAACTGCCTCTCATTGGCCCTGATCTCCTCCAGCAACTACAGGAGCGCCACGACTTCCATGGTATCTGGACCCTCCACGAACACCTTGAATCTTTTCTCCAGCATGTAGAACAACCCATGTACCCACACCCGTCTCTGACATATCAACAGATGTTTCCTATACCCCGGCTAATCACGCTGTTGAAGTACTACTTCCAAAATTCGGTCCAAACCAATTCATCGCGCCTGTTGGTTCCACCTATGATACTTCCAATACAAACAAACCAGCACATACCGAGTGCATCCGTGGTCTGGTGCGGCATCGGTTCACCTCCAACCTCGCTCCTCAACCGAATTATGACGGATAACTTGGTCCTACTTGGCATTTCGTACTCTGCACTAACCCATTCCACAGCACTACACGATAAATACCCGATCCGAACCACAGAGGTGGGTACGCTATTTAGTAGGTCAGAAGGCGAATACGTGGCACAATCGATAGTGTCAGTTTTTTGTCAGCACCAGCCTGAATTGACCCGGCGCATATCCTCCATTGTCGACTCACTTGGTCCAGGCTTCAACAGGGAATTTACTGACCACATCTTCCTATCGATCTTCCCCGAACCACTACAACGGCTATGAGAGCCATACCATATGTACAAACATTGTAATTTAACTCCTTTGAAATAAATATTATTATCTCTATCCCAAATCCTAAATCCTCCACT